CACTCTGCAAGACCAGAGTCGACAGGACATCACTCCTCTTCTTCATCTTCTGCTGAAGCAGGCGGTCTGTCCTTGAGGCCGTTTCGCCTTTTGTGTAACAAATTGTTGCCATGACAGCGGCTCAAGTTCATTGTATCTCACTGTGCTGTGATTTGGCCAACTAGCCAGAAAGATGCTGACTGAAAACGTCTATTAACCCCATTGCCGTCAACCGTGCTCATTTTCACCCAGCTGCAATCAATTGTTGAGACAAACATCTCAGAGAGAAATTTCTCACGGAAAAGCCAACATCTGAAAGACATTTTTTATCATATTTAGGACTGTAGATGAAAATATTCTGATATCAACTGCTTCTGCTATTTTAAACACATAATGTATCCGACACATATAGGAGCTACACAACACTCAAGACAAAGCTTATAATTCCTAAAAGGTTCTAGCATTAATTGCACCATATGTTAGATTTGCTGATTATCAATGAAATGCTGACTTTTTCGATACCAATTTATATTTTGAAATTTTTATGTTCTCTCCTTCTAAAAAGCATTAAGAACATATACAGCAAGTAGATCTAGCAACAGCTAAGCCAAATACTGAAGTCTAAACATAAATCGTTGGCAATTTTATAGTATTTTCTAAGGGTTAAGGCGTCACATGGCAAACAATAAACTAAACGCTAGTGTAGTCAACCTTTACAGGGCAGGTGTCAACAGGCGACGCCGCCGATGCCGACGCCGCCGTCAGTTCGATTCGCATTTGGAGCACGTGCAGCCTAACCTCAAAATGTGGCCATGACGATGTCGACTGCCAAGTCGGAGGCCGGAAGCTGCAGCCAAGTAAACAGAAAAGCGGCAAAACGGATGTGTAGTTCATAAATTTCGTCAACTGCCATAATAACAAACTTGAAGCAGACACATAACAACAACAACAACAACAACAACAACAACATCAGCAACAACAGCAACAACACACAATAGCGGCAACAGCAAAAAAAATTGACTTGTCGCATGTCCACAGATTACACAACATATCATTTTGGATAGAGGCCAACTGTAAAAGAATCTTTCGCATTGAGGTGTGAAGCAGAGTATAAAGCAGACGGAACAGGCAAGAGTATTCTACTGGGGAGTGCATGACTAGGAGATACCCTATAACCAGCAGCGATTTGTCGCTACAAACATTCCAGCGTATTTCATATTCATACATTCTTTAGCTATGCTTCTTATAGTTAAATAACTTCGGGGCTTATGATCCAATTTATATGAAATTTGCAAAATTTTGAATCTGACAATCTGAAATGTATGGCTATGCTTTTTAGGAGACTGTGGATCTGTGTATATTAAAAGCATAACATATATACTGTATTTGGTAAATCCCTATTAGACTTGCCCAAATATGGGTCCACTTATCGCTGATTTGAAATAATCTTAAGCTGCGCCTATAATTGTAGAGCTTACCTTTAAAATATCAGTCTCTAGCTCTTATAGTCTCTGAGTTCGAAGCGCTTACAAAGACGGACATGTCTAGATTGACTCAGCTTGTCCTCCTGATCAACAATTTATATACTTTATATATACTTTTATATACTTTATATATATACTTTTATATACTTTTATATACTTTAGGTCAATCTTTCTATCTGTTGCACAAGTCCTTTATATATTTATTTTGTGTATGATATTCGATACCAACAGAGCCGTTGTTATTCAACATTTAATCTAAAACTTTTCACACAATATTCCAATTAGCTCAGCACTTTTTGTTAAAGCAAGTAGAACATGAATCGAATTGCATATAGTGATAAAAAGGTTGGCGAAAGGTATTACTCAATACAGTTCCGACACATGTAATCAAGCAGAAAGACGAGCCAAGAAAAAGGATATGCTCAAGAATATATATACCTTACTTCCACACTATTTGCCCAAATCATCCCGCATGCCCATTTACAATGGCTCCAGGGTATACAAAAATCAATGCCGAGAAAAGTTTCTACTGCTGCTTCTGGTTGCAGACCAAGTCAACGTCAAGCCAGCCCAACAGCTAGTGGTAAAATCATAAATATTGACGGTCAGGCAAACGAGATGCGAGTACGCTTGGCAGGTGAATTTGTCACGCCCTGTCCAAAGAGGCGAGCGTGTCCTACTCCAGCTCCAGCTAAAGCTCCAGCTCCAGTTGCTGCTGGCCATTAGTCAAAACTGTGACGAACGAGGCGCCGCAGCTGAGTAAACACAAGGCCAGACAGTGGAGCCTGGGTTAGATGGACCCGTCTGCGTCCATTTAGTTGGTTGCACAATTTATTGACCTTTTTGTACAATTTTCAATCGAACGGAACTATTAAGCAGTTAAATGATAAATTATGCGCCACAATAAGCGGCAACCGTGAAAGCTTTTATGATGACGCACTTCCGCACTTTGGGCGCCCGCCAGCCCCAACTACCCCACCCACAGATAAGGATTGCCCTCTGTGTTTGTGCTCCGATATGCCTGTGTCTCGTCTGGAGGCTTACGTCTGGTCGTTGGATTGGACGCTGCGGGCGTGCGCTTCAATTGCGACTTTTATGGCACATCAATCGTGAACTGGCTGCCGAGTACCCAGCACTGGCCGTTAACTTTTATTGATTTCAATGGCCGGGATTTGCACAGTGATTGCCCAGGCTGACCAACCAGCCGACCGACGACGGACCGACCAGCCTGCCATCCAGCCAGACAGTCCCCCAGAAAGCCAGCCAGCTCATAAAGTGCCCTCAACGCCTTTGACTTAACAATTCGCTTTGTCTTCTCGCCGAACTATCCTAGCAGGTGGGTGAGTGAATGGGTGGTCTGTTAACTGAATCTGAAACTGAAACTGGGCGTGTGGCACTGTAACTGAGCCGATTTTTTTTTTTTTTTATTTTTGTGGATGGGCGGGGATCATTAAGTCAAGCTCAGCCCATAAATAAAATTGAAAGTTTTTGTGGCTTTAAGAACTATGTGAGTCAGGTGAAAGCTGCTTGGAATATATTTTATGGATTCAAGCAAGTGCTTTTATAGCAAATCTCTTAATAACTCGCTTACGATTGGTTAAGAGTGTGGCAGGCAAATTGATTATGAAGTGTTATTATTATTACAGTGCCAATTTGCAGTTTGACAAGTTTTTAGGACCTCATGAAAACTTTCATCTAAATAACTTAACTCATATCAACCCAATCCAATCAATATTCAATTCAATTCACTGAAATATATTCTTATAAGGATTTTGAGTACGACTCGGGATTAGATTAACAACAAAAAAAAACAAGATTGTTTTGATTGAATGCCCTATATAATTTATACACTATCTATACATAAATTATTGAAAATATATTAAACTTGTCTTTCAACTAATTTTTCTTTTAAAGCTATATTGTACAATAGTCCGCTGTTGATTAGAATTCATATGAAGCAGAAAAAAAAGATGAAGTAAAAGTCAAGACATCTTGAAAACCCAAAACTGGTATCAAGGATCACAGGGCTATCAAAAAAAGTAATCTTAAAGTTTTCTAATTAACATGAATAAATATAAACAAATAATAATTATTTATTATAAGACTCCATGGTTGGCGTCCCAAGTCGTGGACCTAGTCCATAATTTCAAAAATAATCTTAAAATAAAAGTGATATATAACTAAAACAGTTATACTTAAGGGCAAACGATGGGCTTGCAGGCCTGATTTAAGCAAACTTAATCTTTTAAACGCAGGTATATTTATAGATATCTTGTTTTAAGGAACAAAGAAAACGAGATACTAATTCGAAAATGAAAATTGGCTTACGTTTATGTCTTTTGCCTGTCTAAGCTGGCTTTTTCCATTCAAATCAAAGCAAATATGAGATGGCAACTGATTTATTTATCTAGAAGTCCGGGATAAAGTTGGCAAATGCTACTGAGTCAGCAATAAACATACGTAGATAAACATTTTATGGTTATGGGATTAAAACTAGGATTCCACCAGCATCAACTAGCAATTGTCCTTAGAGTTAAGTACACACACTCGCAACCACTGGGACTGAGTTGCTGTCTTTTAATAACTGTTGATTTCTAGAGAAGCTCACTGGAGCATTTCCAAGAGGCATCCTTGCCATGGTTCTAAAACGCATAAACATTATTGCGAGTGGCTCACAGCTCAGAGCTGCTGTTCACTGAATGGAAAATGGGGATAACTGGATGTGGTAGGTGGATGCCATGTGCAAAGTACCATCGGGCACTTAGTGTGGCCCGTCGCAGCCACAGTCGTAGCCACCTAATCCCAGAGCTTATTGCTGCTCCTTCAGCAGCAGTTCCGACTGCTACCCTGACCCTCAGTTTTCAACACTACCAGCCCATGCTAGCTGTGGAACTGCTCCACGTGTCTGTCTGTAATTAACATGGCATTCAAAGCCAAATCTCTGTTAGATTTGCCACATGTGGTTGCCGCATTGAGTGGCAAATGCCTCAACAGCCACGCACAAGTGTTGAGTGCCCATGAGCCGAACAATTTGTGAGTGTTGCAAGTCTCGGAAATTTTACAAACGACCAAAATATCAGCAGCTCGGAAATTTTTTTTGTTTTATTAACTTTTGATTCAGCTGATTTATTTGTGACCTTGTGCCATGTGCCATATGTTCAATTAATCGAGTTGTGCAACAAAATGGCAGCCCGCACCTAAATTTAATTTTCCGATACATGTTAAAAATCAATACATGATAGTCAAGAAAATAGCATTGAAGCTTGAAGTAAAGTACAATAAAGTATAAAGTATATCTAAAACATCGATATTTAATGATATTATGAAATTATATAGAATAGAAAAATGCTTGTCTTAATATATAGGATATAAAAATGTTTGTCTATTTGAATGCTTGATATTTGATTCGGCCATGTTATTACTCAGCATTTGATTTGAAACTTCCCAGTTAGTTCTGCTTTATTTATTAAGCAAGTGGAACATGAATCGAATGGCAAATAGTGCTTAAAGGTTGGATAAAGCTTTTCCTCAATACAGTAAGTGGAAGATTACTCTAAGATGCACATTCGACTACTTCTGGCACTCACGCATGTTCAGTTCTTTTTAATAGGCATATACGCCGATCCCCGGGGATACCAATATTACAGGACTAAAGTGCCGTCTTACAAAATGCGCGGGCCATATCAGGAACCAGTGGCACCAGCGGACTATTGCAGAAAGGGACTCTGCCCGAAAGGTGTTCGTCACATTTCCTGTAACAATACGTTTGTAAGATTTTGATTAACTACAGTTGAACCTGGCTTACGAATTCAAATTGCATTTATTTCATTTAAGTAGGGCGAAATCTGTCCCACATCACCCAATGGTATTAACATGGAAAATTACATTACTAACATTTTGGAATCTCATAATGGTGTACGGAAAATAATCGAACAGACCGTGGATGATTTGCCAAAAGCCAAAAAATTGCCCCCACTCCGCTGGGATGAAGAACTCTCCGTAGTGGCAATGCGCGTCACAAATTTTTGTAACTATATTGTGGCCCACAATTGCGTTAACGTCCCACGTTTCTTAAATGTCGCTCGCAACTCAGGTGACTTAACAATTTATTCATACAGTACTGCATACATAATTCGCTTTATATTTCAAAATTGGCTAATGGGTTATCAATATTTTAAAGCTTCATATGTACATGAATTTCCAGTGAATGCTACAGAAGAAACTGAGTCTTTAGCAAATATTATAAATCAGAGGGTTGACAAAGTGGGTTGCGGCTTGTTGATAGATGTACAAACGCCACCTGTAGCTTATTTTACCTGTTTGTATAATGAAAAAATCAGGCCTGGAAAGCAATTGTATGAAACAAATCCATAAAATCCGACTTTAAATCTATGTCAAATATATATAATAAACTTATTATAAAATAAATATATATAATAAACAAGTAAGCGGTTCTAGTCGGGAGCTTCCGACTAGGGAACCCTGCATGTTAGTTCTGCATTATTTATTAAGCAAGTGGAACATGAATCGAATTGCATATAATGCTAAAAAGGTTGGAAAAAGGTATTCCTCAACACAGAAAGTGATAGATCTTTCGGCTAGTTCTGGTACTCACGCATATTCAGCTCTTTTTAATAGGGGATACCCCCGGGATACCAACTCTACAGGACTTAAGTGCTCTCTTACATTATGCGCGGGTCATTTCAGCAGCCAAATTGGACTCCGATTGGGTAATGCTGAACCCGATTTGTATAGTTGAAATGCACTTATATTAAGTGTGCCGAAAATTTTCTAAGCCACGCAATGGTCTTAACATGCAAAAACACAGACCGTTTTGAACCATCATAATAATATACGGAACCGAATGCATATAAAAATGAATATTTTGCGTTGAAAATGCATAAATGATTAAGTAATATAATCATAAGTTATATCATTTGATCAGCATGAACAACCTGACAGACTGATAACCTGATAGCCCGAGCAGATCCAGGTTTAATTTAAAGTTATGGCTTTCTTGTATTTGCTCCCCTGCCTTCTCTCTTCATCTCTCTCTCTCTCTCTCACTCCCTCTCTTTGTTTGTATGGAATTCCAGTTCTTTTATAACTCTCTAACTCGTTCAGTTGATTGAGCTGATTTCTTTTTGCGCCTCGTGCAACACATGTCAATTAGTCAAGTTGTACAACAAAATGGCAGCCGGCTGCCAAATTTAATTTTCCCATGCATGCCGACAGTCAAGACACCACACACATCCTTCCAGCCCAACCCTTCAGCTGGCAGGCGTCTGGAGCTGCTCGTCTCGTTGAATGGATTCAAAGCATTTTCATGTCACAAAAACGAAGCGAAAACTTTTCAACATGTGTTGGCAGCTTTCGGGGTGGTCGAAAGCAGCAAAAAAAATGGGGGAAAAAAAATTTGGAGGGAGTTGAAAATCGTGAAAAACTCTTGCAAAGTTGTGGGAGCTTTTCTAAAAGAGAAAAAAAAACAGGTGCCAAGTGGCAAGTGGCAGGTAATAATCTATGCATGTATGTCGCCGTATGTGCGGCTGTGTGTGTGTGTGTGTGTGTGTAGCTAACACTTGGCAGCACTTTACATTTATTGTGGCAGTCGCCTGAGTGGGTGGCTGCGGGGGGAGGGCAGGTGCTGCATTTGAAAGTGCCTGTCATGGCTGGGAAAACCCAATGCTAACAGTTGGGCGACTTGGCCACAAGTTCTAAGCTGTCTTAGTTGCTTATTATGCAGCAACACCCTCTGCCACGCCTCTCCACAATCCTGGCCAGCTGCTCCGGCTGCTGCTCCTACTGCTGCCCGTCCTTAGGGCCCACAAGCAGTTCCTGTCATGTCATTGCCAGCCAGGGGCCGTGCGGAAATGAGCAGCTGTCTTGAGCTGTGACTTCTCCATCTGCTGCCCCCCTACCACACATCGAATGCCATCTCCAAAGCACACACACACACATGCCCAGCATTCAAGTTTCAGCCACGCCCCCCGAACACACACTCCTCGCCGCCCAGCGCCCCTATGCACTGTGTGCCTTCATGCCTTTGGGGGCCACTTGTGCTAAGTAGTCGCTGCAGCTGAGTGCAATGAAATTTTAGCTCGCCTCTAGCGCCAGCTACTAAGTCAAACCCACACACACGCTCACACTCACACACACACACTGACTGCTACACATGCCAATACACATAACAGCTTGAGCAGTAGATGCAGCTGTGGCAGCCATTTTTTATCATCATTTCCGTAACTCGTTGACAAACGGAAGCGTCGAGCCGTTCAGGCAATGGCAACTGCAAAGAAGCAGAACACAACACCAACACACACCCATACACAGACAAACACAGACACACACACACTCACATTCAGTATCTTAGCCAGAGATATATTTGTAGGCATCTCACCCACCCATGGCACAAGGAAATGGCCGTAATGGCAGGCATTTCCATTGCTTATGATATTTTGTTCAAACAACACTTGATACCACCTTTTCATACTTTTCCGTATTTTTCTCAGTTTATTCAGTTTTTCGTGTACGCAACATCTGAAGCATACTCCCCCCCTTTGCTATTGAAATGATCGAAGTGGGCCCACAGGTAAATTGTTGTTGCCACAAAAAATACTTCTAAATAAAAAGTGTCTGACGATACAGAAAATAGACATACTTATTCGTCGAAATATAAATTGTGTTGGCAATTTTGTAAGTCAAGAGCAATTTCATTTAAGTTCAAAGTCAAGTAAAATAAGCAACATAAAATATTGCAGAAACATAATTTAAACCAGCTCTGGTCGGGATGGCCCGACAATTGTTCTATCTTCCTAACACACATACATGCATACATAGATACACAAACACACGCGTGCCGCTAGCTCCGCAGTTAATGTTACAGCTGTTGCCCTTCCTTCCCAAGCCCCACACTTTGATAAAAGTGTTCTGAGATAACTTCGAAGTTTATAGTGCGGAGTATTTGATATTTTCAGTGCTTTAATATGAAATACAAATGTGTTCACATACCCAATTGCCTGAAAGCCATGTTTCAAAATCGATATTTATCGATATTATGAAAATGGGAGCAGTTAACGAAAACAAACTTGTTCTGCGTTTGGTATACGAGACTATATATATATTTCTTATTTGAGTCTCTTGCTCTTGTAGTTTCCGAGAAAAGCGCATTCACACGCGGATATAGCTAAATCGATATGTGTCGCTATCCTGATCAAGATTTTATATAATTTTTGTTCTCTAAGTTGATTCCTTTGGCCTGTTTAATGTATGTGTGAAATTATTTATTCCCGTAATCGGGATCCCTCTCGCCCTTTTCTCTCTCACTCCCCCTTCCTCGCTTTCTCTCTCTTTCTCTCTCTGGTTTCTCCTCCTTTATTGGTACTTTTACCTCTATCTCCATGTTTGTTTCACGATCTATTATATGCCTTTGTATTTCACTCACTAAATTTTTCTTTTCAACCTATTGGCAACTGCCATTGAAATCCATCAAATTTTCTCAGATTTCATTTCGATAACTTCTCATTCAAACCCCAAGTATATTTTTAAATTTCATTCAGATATTCTTACTCTGCTTTGCATTGACTCCCTTTTGGACATTCACTTTCCGCCCCGTCATTGGCATTCGCACAGTCCTTAGACTCAGTTCACACATTTATACAGGCTACTTGCTGGCCATCCGCTTTTCCTATCAACAACTTAGTACCATTTCCCTTCTTACAAGCACCCCCTCATGTGCTAGCGCTGGCTAGTTTGTTGGCATCGGCATTCCCGATTTTTTCGCATTGACAGCAAAAATCGAAATATATTTGCCCAGGCAATTGCCGCCTGCCACGCTTTACACCACAATCTCTGGAGAGTAGAGAGAGAGGGCAAAGCGGAAGCTTTCAATGGGCACACTCTTACTCTTTCTCTCCTCCCCTCTCCCTTCCTCTTCCACTCTCTGTTTAAGTGTTGTCCTACTGGCTAACTTGTGGTGCTGTTTGCTTTACTGCTTGGCACGTTGTGAGGCTCTTGGAATGTTTTTACTGCTGAATGGGTAATTTAGTATTTGGCAATTAGCTTTTGCTTTCGGCTCGTTCAGTAGCCCAGTTGGCCAGTGTTGGATAGTGAGTGTTTTTCTTTATCCGGAACCCATTAAAGATGGGTAAGCCGGGTATAACGATTCGGTGCACATGCACGCAACAGGCAAATGGGGGCTTCTTGGTCAGTACTCACAGCCTACGGTATTTTCTAGTCAACCACTTCTGAGCGGAATACTCTTTCTTGCTTTTCCCAGTTTAGTTATGCTCTCCAACTCCACTTCCCCGCACTCAGCATAGTCGCATGCAACGCGAACTCGTTTGTTTGTTTATCTGTTAAATTATGCAGTCGCCTATTAAGTGGATGAGATTTATGTCGGTCCACCACAAGGAGCTGAGAGCAGCTGTGGAAAACCCTTTTCCATTTGCATTATATGCGATTTGGCTTGACTAGTTGTTCATGCTTATATGATGAGCCCAACCAATTTGATGGGTCATAGTAAAAATTTGCTTTTGCAACATTTTATGCTCAATTTGTAATTATTTTTCATGTCCTTGTTGGCGCTGGCTCGCCCACTGTTCAATTTGTTTGCGCTTCATTAAATATTATTGAAATGCTGCAATTAATTGCGTAATTGTTATTTTATGTCACGACAGCAGCAACAACTACAACAAGTGTAGGGGCGACACTTTAGGCACTTGACACAGCAACAACAATAGCAACTGAATATTGCTGCGGCCTGTGGCCCTTCTGGTCCTGTGGCCATTTGACATCCTGCAATTTGCAATTTGCACATTAAATTAAACACAAATAACTCGTAGATTTGTCCCATATAAAATGCAGCCATGCAATTAGCTGCCAAATCAACAACCCGCGCAAATTGCCAGCTGTGTGCACAAAAATGTGGACTCCAGAGAAGTGCGAAAATAAAATAAAAATCATTTTTAATTTTTATGCGAATTTTCAGGATTTTAAATTGCAAACATTTTTAGCATATATTATATGTGCAGAAGCCTCTTAATTTAATCATCAGGCATACAAAATCAATTCAATTATAAGCAATAAAATATTCCTGTCAAAAATCGGTTTAGTATTGACAAATAGCAAAAAGTTTCAAGTTTGGACAGAGCATGTAAAAAGTTTTGAGAATTTGATGACTTCATTTTACAAATTGATGTACAACAAGGTACAATACCAGTATTTTAATGAAATTTTGAATTAAGACGAATTTCTAATTTTAAATTTACATAAATAGTTAAACATAATAGTTACTCACTCGAAAAAACAATTTAGCAGAAAATAACCATTTTATTTCTATTCAATTTTCTGTAATTGTTTTTTTTTCGATAATGAAATGAATTTCCACATGATGGGAAGATTAGGCCATACTCTTATTTCTAAAGAGGTTTATATAAGAGTTTT